TTTTGAAAACTTATGTACACTTGGTAATATTTGTATTTTTGTAATTTGCTATTGCCAGAACTTTTTGTAAGTACTAATTCTTTTAAAAATTATTTTTATTTTTACTTTGTGAGAAAATTTTATTTATATTATAATATTTAGTTTAGTACATACAAATATTTTGTAATTTGGGCCACATAAGCTCTGCTTTGGCTCAATATCATTATATAATAATAATAATAATACTCATAGAACCTCAACAGAAAGGATGCGCTAAGGGCTCCATGGGTTGCAAAGAACAACTTATTATCGACTCAGTCATTTCTAACCAGGCATACACCAAAAAAAAAGGAATATCTTCACTGCCTTTATTGACTATGAGAAAGACTTTGACTCAGTGCCGCATGAATGGCTGGTAGATATATTAAGAATATTTTTTTTTTACTTAATTAGGTGGCTTTGGCAAAGACCAATTAGCCAGACGATTTTTTTTAACTATAATAATTTAAAAAAGAATACTCATCCTTGTTCACAATAACAATTCTTAAAGTATTAGTAGTGCTTAAAGTTAAGTGTGAGCAGTGTAATTTGTGTTTTTTTTATTATTTTTTTTTTATTTTTTATTTCTATGTATAATTTAGTTATATATATATATATATATATATATATATATATATATATATATATATATATACACACAGCAAATAAACACACCCGGTAAATTACCGGGTGTGTTTATTTGCTGTGTAAAAGCTGATCAGTGTGAGGAACGGGGTACAGAGAGATAGAAAAACCAAAGGGTATAAGAATATTAATATCAGACGAAGCCGGAAACATTTGGAGTTATAAACAGGCGCGGAGATTGGCTCAAAAGGAGGCTGCATAGAATAACACGAGTTGTTGGGTTGCAGATACAAGGACAGATAGGAGAAAGGTGTACGTCATCTGGACCACAATAGGAGCAGAAGCAGAGAAAGGTTTTTTTAGTCTGGCGTGGCCATAGAATTGCAACGGCAGAGAAAGAAAGGTCTGTCAATTTTCATTAGAGCAGGAGTGTGGTTTTCATTTATTAATGAAATAAATTGAATAAATAATAGAGACAGTTAATTTTGCGATCATTAAAAAAAAATTATAAAATGATTTGCTCTTATTCTGTTTAAAGTAATAATAAAGCTCCTGTTGTTTTCGTTGTAGAACCATCTTATTATTGGGATTTGGACTTGACATGATTTATAATTTAATCCTATTTGTTTGCTGTCATATAGTTCTTGCCATTTAGCCTTAAGTTGAACTTTAAGTGTGGAATTCAAATCTGTATATGGAATACACTGATTAATAGAGTCTCTGTGTAAGTCTGAGGCGGATTTTGCAAACTTATCAGCAATTTCGTTTTCTTGAATACCCGAATGACCTTTGATCCAAACTATTAGCACCTCCCGTTGCGAGCTAAGTATGTCGTGATTGGTCTGTAGTATTTCTACTTCTAGATGACTTAAGTTCTTGGCCGCACTTATATTTTTTAGTCTCTCTGTGACACTTTTGCAATCTGTAAATATAATACTTTTGAGTCTATACGTCCTAAGTATATATTTTAGAGCTTCACTTGCAAACATTTCTGCTGTATATATCGTTGCCTCATCTGGTAATCTGAACTCTTCATGATATTTTGAGGTGTGATCGTAAAAAGTGGCACCTGTACGAATTTGTTTTGATCCATCGGTGTAAATCTGATAATAGTCAGGCCATCGTTGATTAACCGTTTCGAGGAAGTGGTCGTTTTTATCAATCTGAAACGTCTTAATTTTTTTAGAGAAAAGGACATGCGGATGTTCTGAAAATATTGGTTGGATTTTTGATGTGTACAGTACCGACCTGAATTGGGAAAGAGTGGTATAACTTTCACAAATTAGCGGAGTTTTATATTTTAGCCAATAAGACTGTGTGAGTACTGAAATTGACAGTTCATGGATAGGAATTATATAACTTGCGGATATTAAGAATATATAAAGTCGATGATAATATAGTAACCTTCTTAAGACATATAATGATCGATTGGAAGACTAAAATTCACCTCCAAGTACCTGGTGAAAAAAAATATCGAAACGGAAAATATCGCAATTAACCGCGGCCTATTCCAAGGAGACTCGCTGAGTCCCTTGTGGTTCTGTCTAGCGATGAATCCACTATCCCAGCTATTGAACTCCACTCACTCAGGTTTCAGCATTAAAAACAACATCACTGTAGTGGCGAAGCTTAACCATCTGTTGTATATGGATGATTTGAAACTCATGGCTTCCACTCGAAATTACTTAGATCAAATGCTAAATATATTGTTAAAGATCCTCAAGTCCAAAATGACAAATGCCGATATGGATGCCAAGCCCAAGAAACCATCCAACATCTTACCGGTGGCTGCCAAGCATTATTTGTCGGTACTGATTATAAAGAACGCCATGACTCAGTAGGAAAGATTATCCACCAAGAACTAGCTGACAAACTGGGACTTCTCCATACCGACCGTCTTCCTTATTATCAATACGCTCCTGATAGAATGCTTGAAAATGACAACTACAAGCTATACTGGGACCGCACTGTGCTTACAGACCAACCAGTGGGCCATAATAGACCGGATCTCATACTAGTTAATAAACTTACTAGACAAACAACACTTATTGATGTGGCGATACCCAACACCAATAATTTAGTTGTTAAATACAACGAAAAGATCGCCAAGTACAGAGATCTAGAAATACAAATCAGGAGACAATGGAAATTGGAAAGTACCCAGACACTACCTATTGTTCTATCTACTACTGGTGTTATTCCCAAAAACCTCCTAGCGAACATAAAACAACTAGGTCTAAATGAACATCTTTATAAGGCCATGCAGAAAGCTGTACTCCTCGCGACGTCCAGATGTGTACGAAAATTTTTGGGAGATACTCCAACATACCAAGTCACCTAGGGCTCGATAACACGGAAAGAGTCCCACCAGAGCTCAATCCTTTTGATACCGTAGGTATCTGGGATGAGTGAAATTTCCCCTTAGAGGGAGTGTGAGCCGTATGGCTAAATCTGGATAATAATAATACTCATGTTACTCGTGTTATTCCCAAAAATCACCTAGCGAACATAAAACAGCTAGGTCTAAATGAACATCTTTATAAGGCCATACATAAAGCTGTACTCCTCGCGACGTCCAGATATGTACGAAAGTTTTTGGGAGGTACTCCAGTACACCAAGTCACCTAGGGCTCAATAACACAGAAAGAGTCCCACCAAAGCTCAATCCTTTTGATACCGTAGGTATCTGGAATGAGTGAATTTTCCTCGATATTTTCCATAGAGGGAGTGTGAGCCGTATGGCTAAATCTGGATAATACTCAAAAGCAAACTTAATTCCAAGCACTTAGTAAAATCAATAAACACATACGCAATGACACCTTTCACATAGTCCTCATTTGGCGTTATAAAATTGTCGAATACGGAAACTGAAGAACTAAATAGACCAAATAGAACCGTAATAACTAAATACGCATCAACCACTCCAAATAATACATCCAACGTATGACTAACACGCACACAAGGCGGGAGAAGAACGGGGTGTTTTGGAAATATCACCCACTACTTAAAAATAAAAAAAAAACAGCAAAAAAAAAACAAAGACAAAAATACATAGACACAGCGATTAGACCGATGATAGCATAAGGGGCGGAAGTAATGTGTCTTACGAAAAAAGATGATGAAAAAGTAAGAATTATTAAAAGAAAAATTATAAGAATAAACAGACCAATAAAGCCAGAACAATGAAGCATGAAATAAGAAATATAAATATAACCGAAGAAGAAGACATAGTAAAATTTATTAATTCATAAAGACTGAGATAGTAATAGATTTAAATAATATTTTTGTTATTTCCCACTAAAATATTACATAATCATAATACCAGATCATTTAATTTTTAACTATCAACAAAAATGTAATATAATATGATGTACGAATTTAATGGTAATATGATATTGATAAAGAAAGCCGCAACATACATAATTTCTTTGTCGGTAAAATTGTTTAGATAATGAATGAATTTGGTGTATTTATTCCGACTGACATAGCAGAACAGTAAAGTATTATACATAAAAATGTTGTTATAAGATATCTTTGCTTAGTTGGTCTACTGGTAACCATATAAGTTATAGCATATATTTGATAAAATTACTGTCTACACAACTTGGCAACTCAGCCAATTGATATAATGACAGAAAACTGCAATTTATGTTAGGATTTGAAAATATTACAGAGTCGTCATGTAGAAATCTACAATTAAGTTAAAAAATTTACCACAGTAGCATGCCGCAGTAGAGCCATCTCTAGGATCAGAAACAAATTAATCGAGGGTGCAGATCAACCTTAATCGAAGAAGACCCGATGGACAGAAATGAGTGGCGACGAAGAATAAGGAACAGCGACCACTAAAAAGTGAAAAGCTGAGGAAGACGAAGATATTAAAAGTATATAGGCGCATAGTTAACGGAAGACGAATTTGATCACCCACTGTATATATATATATATATATATATATATATATATATATATATATATATATATATATATATATATATATATATATATATATATATATATATATTTTAAACATAAACATTTTAGATTTCTACGTAGAATAATTATCACTTTTATAAGATTAAATAAAAATATATTTCTGAAGTTATCACCTAACTATTTCTGAAAAATCCGAATGCCACCTCTCACATCCAAATTTGGAGAGAAGTGAAGATAGAATTCAGAATAGACAGAATATTTAAAACAGAACAGACTATTTAGAAGTTAGAGCCTTTTTAGATTTAGAACATTTTCAGTCGAATATAGCAACATCCAGTTCACACAAATATTAAGTATAATTTTTAACGCTAAATTTTCATTAGTTCATTTTCTATATTTCTAGAACTAAGTTAGTTTTACTTATTATACATACTTAACTGTGAACTTAACTGACTACAACTTACCGATGAATTATTTTTCAATCTTTTCATATTAAATATCGTCAAGAAAAATTTGTTGAATATTTTGTAACTGGACTGAGTTTAGAAATTGAGATTGTTGACACAACTGGAAATAAAAAGAAACAGTTAAAACTACAGTAAACATCGTTTTTAGTTCAACTTATCTTAAAAAATAAAAAAAAATGAATTTTGTACAATGTTAGTGTTTTTTAGTTACATATAATAAAATGCTTAATATAAAAGTTAGTTGTTTATTAAGTTGTAAGTTAGTTTATAAAACAATTATCTCCATAACTTATTATTTGTTTGCCTAATCTATCTTCTCTCTTTATTCGTTTGTAACTATTTTTGTTAATTCCACCTTGCCAAACGTTCTTTACTTGCATATTCTTTGTCATTATACGTGCTTTATTATAGCTTATGTTATACCTTTTGTGATTCTTAATTATCTTCTTCTGCTTCACTCAAGGGTTGATGAATTTGTTGCCAGTTCCGGCATCGAACTTTGTGCCATCTTTTTACTTAAACACCGGATATAGTTTGTAATGGCCCTTTTTAGCCCACTATTAGAATTTTGGATTATCATCTGATCATCGGCAAAAAAAAAATTATTGTTTTTATTTGTGTATGTTCATTGAGTTATATACCTTTCTATATTGTGAATATAGAAAGAATTTAGAATTTTGGATTATCATCTGATCATCGGCAAAAATTATTGTTTTTATTTGTGTATGTTCATTGAGTAATATACCTTTCTATATTGTTTTATCCCATCCCACGATGATACTGTCAATAAATGAATGAAAAAGTTTTGGTGACATACTACAATCTTGTTTTAGTCCGTGATTTGATGATTTTGCCCATTTTACAAAATTAAAATGTGAAAATCTTGAATTATCCATGTCTGTCTGTCCGTCCGTAAAAACAACTCTTCCGTTATTATAATTGATAAGATCACAAATGAGGTGTCGAATTAAATCTTATATCCCAAGAATGACATTAAAGGTGAGAATTTTGACCTCAGCGTTCCGTTAACAGAAATGCAACCGGAAGTACTGTTTTAAAGTCGCCGAAATAGTACAATCGATATATTATTCGACGCGCCTTAGCAATATGAGAAAAAATATATACTTCCGGTTTTTATCACTTTCTATTAAAAAGTTCCAACAGGAAGTGGTACATTACAGTCGCAGAAATTGTACATGTGATTATATCAATCCATGCATATTGACGAGTCGAGCTCGAATATTTAGTTATAGTTTTGATGTCATCCGGTTAAAGTTATGACAGGAATTTTGGCAAAAATGAGTGAAAAATGAGTCAAAATTAGTGAACTCAGAAAGTGTTCAAATATCGATTACCGATTCTATTTCCGGTCACGTTAGGCGAAAACATAGGACTTACTATTTTCTACAGGCAAAAGCACTGAAGAACACAGCCGTGGTGTTGGTATTATTATCAACAATAATTTAAAAGAGTTTGTGACAAATTTTATTCCCTTTAACGAACGTATAATGTTACTTCAGCTGAAAGCCAAACCTCTAAACATAAATCTAATCCAAGTGTATGCTCCAACATCTGATAACAATGATGCTGAGGTCGAAAAATTCTACGCGGACTTAGAGCTGTTAACAAAAAACATAAAGAAGTAGGAGATAAAAATAACTATGGGCGACTTTAATGCTAAAGTTGGTCGAGGAAAAACTGGAAATATTGTAGGAAATTTTGAGTTAGGTAAAAGAAACGAAACAGGTGATAGACTAGTCCAGTACTGCCAGGAGAAAGAATTACTCACAACAAATACATACTACGACCTACCCTCACGAAGATTATACACATGGATTTCTCCAAAAGATAACACCAACAATATAATCAGAAACCAAATAGATTTTATAACCATTAACAAAAGGTTTCGTAATGGAGTACTAAGTGCAAAAACCTATCCAAGCACAGATGCAGATAAGGACCATAATCTATTACTAGAAAACGTAAACATTAAACTTGGAAAACCAGAGAAAAAAGTTAAAACCACCCAAATAAACATCAAAAACCTAAAAGACGACAACTGCCAACAGCAACTAAGCGCAGAGATAAATAAATTAACTGAAGGAAGCGTGGAATGGTCAGATATGAAAAAGTCCATACTAAAAGCAAGAAAAGAGGTACTAGGCGAAGAAGAGAAAACCACTAAAAAAGACTGGATGACACCGGAAATAGTTGAGCTAATAACTGAAAAAAGAAAATACAAAAATAAAGATGAAAATAAATATAAAACCATCAAGAATAAGATCAAATATGAAATCAGAAAGGCTAAGGAGAACTGGAAGAACTCAGCAACAAATATGACACCTCAAACTTACATAAAAAAATGAAAGAACTTACAAGCAACACCAGACAAAGAAGAACACTCATAACAAGAGACAATAATGGAGGAATACTTACTGAGGAGAGCAAAATAAAGGAGGTATGGGAACAATAATATAATCCATCTCTTCCATGACGAGAGGAAAAGTGAACAAGATATAGGTGAAGAAGAACAATACCTACAAATTTTACCCTCAGAAGTAAAGCATGCCTTCCAGAAAGCAAAACAAGGAAAAGCACCGGGTCCTGATCAAATTCCAGTTGAACTGTGAAAAGCCTTAGATGACGATAATATAAAGAAACTTACCCGAATTCTCAACCACATATATGTAGAGAGCAACATCCCGGGGGAATGGCTTAAATCGATATTTTTACCTCTACCAAAAAACAACAATTCCAAATCATGTAACGACTATATATTGAAAATCCTGATGTGCCACCCTTTAAAGATTCTCTTGAAAATTGTTCAAAACCAAATTTATAAGAAATATGAGAAGCAGATAGATCAACCGCAGTTTGGTTTCAGAGGAGGCATGGGTACAAGAGAGGCATTTGCGTTGACGGTACTATTGCAGAAATGTCGGAAATATAACAAGAGTGCATATGTATGCTTCATAGACTTTAGAAAGGCATTTGGACCGAGTTCAGCATATGAATTCTAATAATAGATTAACTAAAAAACATCAATTTAGATTAAAAAGACATTGAGTTTATTAAGGCTATATACTGGAACCAGAAAGCAGTAGTAAAGGTGAACGATATAGAAACAAATAATATACCGATTGCAAGACGGGTAAGGCAAGGATGCGTCTTGTCTCCGACGCTTTTCAACGTGTACTCACAGGTTATATTCAGAAAAGCCTTATGGGAACGAAAAGAGAATAAAAATTGGTATAGAAATCGTAAACACCATGAGAATTGCAGATGGCACGGTAATTATGGCTGAGAGTATAGAAGAACTACAAACTTTACTAGATGCAATAAATAGTGAATGCATTCAAATGGGACTTGACATCAACACAGATAAGACCAAATTTATGATAGTAAATCCAGTCCAATAAATAATGAACAACTAACCCTTGGTGGACAGCAAATAGAGAGAGTGACAAAATATAAATATCTGGGAGCTTACATCAACACAGAATTAGATCCAGACCAAGAGATCAGAGTATGAATAGAAATGGCAAGGGCAGCGTTGGTAGAAACATTGACGTTAAGAGCGCAAATAGTTAAGAAGCTTGAAGCCTTTTAACTTTGGATATACCGGAGAATGTTTAGAATTGTCACGGACTGTCAGGGTCACTAATGAGGAAGTGCTGAGAAGGATGGGCCGAGACAAAAAATTGTTGAGAACAATAAAAGTAAACATGAAAATAACATGACTGTAGATGAAATATTGCACGTTGCAAAAGACAGAAACTTTTAGAAATGTGGTCGCCAACCTACATTAATGGAGACGGCATAGAAAGAAGAAGACTAAGTCCAATTGCTTGTTTTTACTGGTTTTTTCTTCTTGTAGTGCCTATCCGTTTCGTATATTGGCGGCCATCATGGCAATCTGTAGCAGCACACTGCTGCTCTGAAATTATTCGTGGTTGTTTTTTTAAACCACGTACGTAGATTTTTCCTGGTCCTTATTTTCCTTCTACTTTTCCCTGCAAAATTAATTGCAGCAACCCATACCTTTCACTGTTCCTCATGATATGACCGAAGTATTTGACATTGGCTGTTTTTATTGTGGTTAAAAGCTCTTTTTCTTTTTGTATTCTTGTAAACACAGGATAGACCAAATTTGACGGAATTAAATTATACACTTATAAGGACTAAAAGATTGCTTGATGTCTTTGAGAAGCTCACCAAATTATTGAAAATTTAGACACTGAGTGTGAACAAAATTACAGTACGGTTCATGAACCTGAGCGCTAAGACTTCTTATAGAGAAAATATATTTTATACACTACTTACAGAAGTAAAGGAGTTTGTAAACGTAAATGCACCTAATATTTCCGATGTGGACAAAGACAGTATTGCTAGTGTTCCAGTTCTTATATGAAGAACCCTCTACAAAAACTGAATCGAAACTCTGCAAAATTACCTATACTAAATTTACCTACTATAGTGTTTTTATTAGTCCTAATTTATTGTCTTTATTCTAATTTACTGTCTTTATTCTAATTTATTAAAACTCACGATAATTTATCAAAAGTCTTTATTTTATACTAATTTATTTTACACTTAATAATTACAAATAATTTATTTGCGTTCGAACAATTTTATCCCGATATCCGCGATTTTCTTGTTGACTGCCTGCTCAATGAAAATCTTCCGTTATTTATATGAAACCAGCTTGTAAACAGAATGTTGTAGAAAATACGATGCCGTTCTCGACGTAGACACAGCGGCGACTGGTCTCAAAACTGATATGTTTTTTTTTTCATCGGCTCGTCCCTAGAAAGTTCGATTGCTGTTTGTTTAGCGAAGGGAACGCAAAGGATGTCAGATAGATTTTTGACCTATAAATTACGAGAATCAATAAAAAAGAATTAGTCATAAAATATTTACAGTTCTATACGCCATAACATTTAAAATCGTAACACTACTTACGACGGAGATTTAGAACACTGGTTGTTCTTCCGGGATACATTTACTTCACTTATACATGAAAACAATGCGCTGACAAATGTGAAAAAATGTAATTACCTGCAACTTTCTGAAATGTGATGCAGTAGAAATAATCAGTTC